GACTTTGTCATTTCTGTTTTATAGGACTTTCAACCCCCAGATCATGCTGTGTTTCCCCATTCCTGTGATGCAGCAAAGTATAAATACTCGTACAGATAAGGAACTGCAGCATGGTGAGGTTTTGGTTAGACTCCATCTAAATCTCCATCTCTTCTAGTCTGCCCATGAACAAAAGTAGTTTCTCACAGAGATGGGATTAATCCAACACTTCACCCCATCTTCCAAGCCTGGAATCCTACCTAAGTCTTCACTGTGGATCCCCAAAAGCACAACAGACCCAGATGGGATGGCTGTACCCAGAAAGGCACAGCTGAGGAAGAAAGCTGCTATGCATGGCCATCAGGGATCCCACACACCAGACTCCACAACTGTATCTAAACCAGGAGCCCCAGGACACAGCCGGCCAAGGAGAGCAGCACCTCCTGCAGCTCGGGAGAAGGCTGCTTTTTGGGAAGCCTGATGGCTTTTAAAGCAAAGCAGCCATTAACTGCACAATGGTGGAGATGTGTCAGCCTGGATCTGTGAGCTCTATCTGCTGTGGCTCCATCCTCCCTGCCCAGATCTGGAAGGAGTCTCTGTCTACAGCATCTCCCATGGAGGTTTCATTTCCTCCACAACAAAACATTGCTAAAACTGCTTTTGGCAAACCACAGTGTGAGATCTGCATCTGTTTCCATGGAACAACTTAAAAGTGTACTTGTTAAGACAGTGACTGATTCAGACCCCTCTGGAGCCATGAAGGAAGAACTGCTGCTGGTCTTGGTGGGGTTTGGCTGGGTGTGAACTCAAGTGAAAGGGACCGGGCTCTGTGGGTGCTGTTCTCACTGTAACTATCCTGCCGTGGGGGTGAGAATGTATTTTCCTCCACAGACGGGAGAAATCAACTGGGAGCTGATGTCCAAACCCTCCCACCCAAATACCTCCACATGGTTTAGAGCAAGAGCCAAGTTTTGCAATTCACATCCAACTCTGAAGCCCATAAAACTATTATCTCCACTGGCACCAATTCATATCTCTGTCAGGAGATCCACACATGCAGGAGACTGAGTGAACCCACAGCAAAACCCACCCTTGGAAGACCAGAAATGTTTTGTTTGGGGGTTTTAGACCAAAGAGAGACCTTCATTCAGTTGAAGATTCAAGGAATGTTATACAAGGAGGAGCCTTGACAATATGGGAAGTACCTCAAGGGGCTGATCCTTCTTTTTGGGCTTTTTGTTCATGGATGCACGATCCAATGAATCGTTCTCCTCATCATCTGAGAACACAGAACCTTTTGTGTCACAGTTTACCTCAGGTGTTTTTTCATACATATTGTCCACACCTATTTAACACGGCCATTGACAGTCTAAACGTGAAGACAAAGGATGAAGAAATCAGTGACGGTTTGATCCGCGCTCTGCCAAATGCCACCTCACTGCAAAGCCATGCATCTTCCAGGGATTAATAGGCTGAAGGTTCACACATCACACTCCAGTAATAGCAGCAGTGGGGTTAGAAATCAAAAGGCTTTTGTTTATGAAGCCATTATAAGCTCTAGTTTGATTATTTTACATATAATTCATACTAAATTCACAGGCTCTGATGTTCTGGAGGTTGACTCTAGAAAGAGTTCTTTGTTCAGCTCAGGGATAAATAAAATAGCTGATTTATTGAATCACTGATTCCCTCCATCGTTCTTCCATTTACTGTTTCCAGAAGTGTCCTCTAGAAGGCACCAAAGGAGTGTTGAAGGCCTCTGGTCAGTACAGAGAGAGCTGCCTGGGATGCAGAAACATGAAGCACAGCAGCACTAATAGACTTGGAGCTGAGACAGCTCAAGCAGAGCACCCAGTCTGAGATCCACTGATGTTAACATAAAGCTTCACCAGGCATTGAGTGGACTCAGCAGTAGGTGTGTTGCTGCAAGTCCAGAGCAGGGAAAAGTCTCTCTTCTGTCACTCTGGAGTGAATTTCATGGAGCACTAACTCCACTGATGGATCTGAAGGCAGATTATGGCCCCATGACTACAGACCACTAACACCTGCTTGGTGGTTCCTTAACGTAGGGCATGATCATGGTGGGATTGGTCACGTTGCACAACACAATCCACTGCTGCCTTAAATACAGACAGTGAAGCAACACAGTCCAAAGCAGGAGGTACAGAAGAGGACACCCAGCATGACCAAGCTTCCTGCATCTCCACGGATGGCTTCTTACCCATGGGGCTGGAGCTTTCTCTGTTTAACTGATAAGTCTTTTTCCTTCTGAAACATGTCAGGAGTGGAAGTGTTTGCTGTTCAGACAACATTAACCACAACTATTTGCTCTATACTTAGACTGTTGTATGAACAATACATACAAACAATGCTCTGTGCTTATAGTCTCAGCCTGACTGTAAGGCTCTGCTGGACCAAAGACCTAAACCCAAAGAGGATACTTCAACATCCAATACTTATTAATCCATTTGGATTCTTCAAGCACTAAAGAACTAAATTCCCCTACAGCTCATTCAGTTGGGTAACAGAGAGACAAAGGGAAGTGATCTGGTTACAGCAACACCACGACTCATGAGCAGGTCACTGGGGCTCTCTCCAGTGCCAGCTTGAAGTCAGTGAATTAAAGTGACTCCCAGTCCCTGTGTTCAGCCCACAGGATGCGGCTGCTGCTCAAGGGAGCATCCTCTGGCCACTGGCCTGTGGCTCTGCCCCTTTATCACCATTTGCATGGGCAGGCTGACAGGCACCATCGCAGGTTTCCAGGAAGAGCTGGAAGTACTGACAATGCTGATTGTCACATTGCAGAGAGGTGCAGGGCACTGCTGAATTGGGGTTTTTATCTGTGTGTGGCTGTAGCGTTAAGACTGTGCTGTATGGAGACTTAGATCTTCTCTAGACCACAAGGCAAAGCAGTACAGGAACATTCTATTTCAAGTACTATTTGACCCTTCCACTTGGGAAGCGACCTAGCCAGGAGGAGCCTGGCTTAGGCCATCTTGGATGTGGAATATGGTCCTTGTTGCCTCTCTAAACCAACAAAAACTGGAGTCAAGTTTGGTTTAAATGCTGTTTGTTCAGCAAATGAACCATGCCCAAATCTGCAGCGTGGAGGCCAAGCACTGCCCATAGATGCCCTTCAAGCAGTTCATTTCCAGGTAGTAAAAGTGGGTCAGGACTCACTCAGGTGCCTCACTGAGGTTTGCACAGTTGCCCAACCTCCATGTGCTGCTGAGAGGAGACGAAGGTTTTCCCCGTGGAAAAGAGGACTTTGAATGGGACACGATGGAGAACCAGAATGAGAGCATTTTAGAGCATGGAGACACTGGCTGCTGAAACTGAAGGAACACAGGACCAGGCCAATGTGCCTTGCTCTCTTTCTCCTACAGCCAGCTGCTTTGCTGGAGAAGGAACTGTCAGCCCTGATAACGCTCCCATGAATCCCATGTTTTCCCAGTGTAAGTTGCTTTCTCCATTATTATCCTCTCTCTTCAACTGGGTGCTGGGTGCAAAAGATCCCCAGGAGCTCTGCCACCCGTGTTGTGTGTCTCCACAGCAGAGGCACAGCCTCCTGCAGGCTCTTCTGATCTCAAGTGTCACATCCATGGAACTGCTTCCATGGAGATGAAGAGGAGAGATCAAGCCTCCAAGCTGGCACACACGGCTTTGACCTTGCAGCAGAGAGGTCTGCAGTGCCCACTGGAAGCTGGGCTCATGCCCTCTTCTCCCCTGCTCCATCTCGTTGTGGATGAGGCACTGGAAGCTCATCTCAAAGGGCAGCTGCTGTGTGAGTGCCAGCTTTGAAGCTGGGTTTTTTTGTGATGACAGGATAAAAACCTGATTTTCCTACACCAAGAGAGTTCTCCTCTGCAGGAGAAAATGTAAATCAGGGGATTAACCAGGATAATAAGCACCCATGTGAGGAATGAGTGAGACATCAGACGGAGGCTTAAAGTGAATGGATGGGTTCTGGGACACCAAGGTTTGTTTATGGAGAAGGTAAAGACTGAGAAGCAAAACGTTGTCAGCGCTGGCACATGCTTCTTGAGGACAGCACTTGGCCTCGGGTGACCTGCTGTGTGTTTCTAAGAGCCACCTTTAGGATATGAGGCTGTGTATTGAGCCTCAGGCCACCACGGGTGTCCCCGCAGCGCAGAGCCAGCAGCGTGTGCTGCGCCAGGGCAGCAGGGCTTGTGTCACAGCATGGACCATACGCCAGATGATTCTCCTGGCTCTCTCATCCTTGGGAGACCCTCACTGCCCACATCAGAGCCATGTGTCTGGTGTCTCCACCTCTCACATTTATGGCTCCACAGCTCTGCACGGAGGGGCAGAACTGCTGCGGGGATGGGAAGTTCACTGGGTGCCAGGGCGAAAGGTGCTGCTGCCTCTTGCAGCTTTCAATATGCAGGTGACACTCCTCTCTTCACTGAGGCGAGACAGAACCTGAATGTAAATAGTCCAAGGAAACAGACCCTGTAATTCCAGTTCCAATCATCCTAATTCCTTCAAAGGGAACCAATATAACCCACACATCGTGTGGGAAGCCCTGAAGCCGGGCATATTTCAAGATGAAGTAGACATTTGAGTGCTCTGCAGAGCTGGGATCTAAACTATTATAAATGTACAACAGGGAACAATCCAGCAGGAAAAGGGAATGTAGGCCCAGACCATCAGCATCTTTAATCTCTGTGATCTTACAAGGGCTAAGAAACCTCCTTCTACAGCAACAAGTGGGATTCAGTCGCGTGCTGGTTCTTCAGCCATCACTTTGTTTCAGCCTCTGGTCTGTGTTGCTGTGTAAACCTGGAGTAACTCCTCTAGATTTCCATGAGTACAACAGAGGTCAGGACCTGGCCCGTTCTAACTACAGATGAGACACTTAAATACAGTTACAGTGGGAATCAGGTACCTCTGAGAGAAGCTGGACCTCCCCCTTACTTTGCTGGGCACAATACACGTTCTTCCCACTGTAATTCCTTGGGAGCAATGGGGAAAAACACAGTCACAGACTACACAAGCCAGGATCAGGTATTGTATTATTGTAATGGAAGATAAAGTCACTCCAAAGTTAAGCCTTTCCTTGGGATAATTAATATTAAAGAGGTTTGCACACCACTTAGTAAGAGCAGGTATTTATTATACGATGGCGATCAGCTTCTTTTCCCTGCAACGAAGATAAATTTGCCATCATTTCCACAGGACACTGAGCCAAGACATGTACTTGCCCAACAGGTCTCATTGCCAAACCAAGAAGTTAGGAGCAGGCATCTCCACCAGCACACGCTGCCCAGGAGCCACCAGACAGAGGCAGGCATCCTCTCCAAAGCCAAGTGCAACCAAAGCAAACGAATCACACCAAGAAAGTCATCCGTTAATGAAAACACACCCCACAAAGGGTTAAGTTGTTAAGTGCTAGTCGAGTCCAAACACCTCAGAAGAACACTCATGCAATCTGTAACACTTACATCCGAGTCCCATCATATTTACATAGAGAAAAGGAAAGAATAAACTGTTAGGGGAAAACATTTGGGTGTAGAGGGCGAAGGAACATTGTTTCAGAGCACAGAAGTCTTCATCTTTGCATATCTGTGGTTCAACTGGAGTTTATTAAATAACAATTAATGTTTTATCTTGGTAAAATGCAAATGTACTTCAAGAACCTACTGACTGACCCTGAAATAACCATAGTAAGTATGAAAGTACTTTAAAGTACCCAGAGAAACACCCAAATTGCCCATTCAGAGCTACCAGTGCAAAGCGATGCAAATCACCCCTGTAACAATTTGATTAACAGTTAGTAGAGGGAAGTTTTAAGGAGCAGAATGCCTGGAGCAACAGAAAGTTGATTGTTCTTTAAGTTCAGTGAGAGAAAGGTTAAAAAAATCCCTGCAACAAGAGCTGGAAGCAAAACTGGCGAAGAACAGAACTGAAACCACCTACACCAATTCCCTGCATCAGTTCAGAGACACAAGAACAGCCCCTTGATGCAAAGCCAGTTAGGTTTTTAAGTGTACTTTTCACTGTCATCATCTCATGTGCAAGTTGTAGCATAATACAAAGGGGTTGGATACATCTAGTATGGCAATAGGGTGCTTTGTTTAAAGCACAATTAAGTGAATGTCCCATTCAGGCCCTCACTGAGCTGCACTGCTGATTGTGTGTGATCTGTCACCTTGTCTTTAGGGTGACAATCACATGTAAGAAGGGATCCAACATTACTGCAGAAACTCCAGGGGCTGACTTAATGCTGCAGCACCTTGTGGATGGGTGACTGAACATGTTGGCCAAGCCAACATATGTGACAACATGTTGTCAGCCACTGGTGAGCTGTGGTTTTAAGTTGGTTTTAAGTTTCTAAATGCCCCCTCAAATACCTGCAGCCTCAACAGTTCTGATAGAGACCTGATTCTTCAATATCTCCTGCATATATTTATTAGATATAAGGAAGTTGTACTTTACTGTGAGGGTGCTGAGGCACTGGAACAGGTTGCCCAGAGAAGTGGTGAATGCTCCATCCCTGGCAGTGCTCAAGGCCAGGTTGGACAGAGCCTTGGGTGACATGGTCTAGTGTGAGGTGTCCCTGCCCATGGCAGGGGGTTGGAACTAGATGATCTTAAGGTCCTTTCTAACCCAAACCAGTCTGTGATTCTCTGTAAGGATTAAAATTGTTCCTCCCTCCCAACCATACCACGGGTCTTTGCAACAGCACCCAAGAGATGTTAGCTGAGAAAATACCACCGAATATAGTATTTGTTACTTCTTAAATGCCAGCTCCAAGCAAGACTGTTTAACATTGCCCAGCGTTTAAGCATTCACCAGGCACTGCCAAGAGACAAACATATCCCTGGAGATTTTCACTCCGTCCTTCCTGAAGGGGAAGGATTGCTCTGAGATAATTGCACTGTTGTTCCTTAATGCTACAGGCCGTGAACATTGAGGATTAGACATAAGGCAGAAGCTCTTCCGTGTGAGGGTGCTGAGGCGCTGGCACAGGGTGCCCAGAGGAGCTGTGGCTGCCCCATCCCTGGCAGTGTTCAAGGCCAGGTTGGACACAGGGGCTTGGAGCAACCTGCTCTAGTGGAAAGTGTCCCTGCCCGTGGCAGGGGGTTGGGACTGGGTGAGCTTTAAGGTCCCTTCCAACACAAACCAGTCCATGATAATCCTATGATAAGCAATAAATCAGAAACTTGTGTAAAGACCTGGAAGGAGTTTTGCCACTGAGCGAGAAGAGCTGGCACAGAAGCTGTCAACAAGACATGCTGGCATAGGTATAGTGAACACACTTGTATTTAGTGATGCTGCCCAGAGCAGAGGAGGATGAATGTCCTGAATTGTGTCAATGCTTTGTCATGTGCAGAGTGTGAGCCTGGCCAGGGGGAGCCAAATGGGCAGGGAAGAGCTCCAGCAGCAGAGGAACCCATCACCACCACTGACAGTGACAGATCTGCTCTGGGACAGGGGGAGCTGCTGCTACACGCAGCCTGGCTCTTGGTCTCTGCTCTCCACGGCACCTGCTGGGCACATCCTCAGGAAACCTCATGGGATATAACCTAGGGAGCAGGATGCTCCCCCTGAGGGGGTTCTATGAGCCAACCAGAGAGAAACGCTTCACTCCAAGAGCATTAAAGCAACTGCTCCTGCCAAAAAGGCTGCATCATGGCTCTAAACCAGCCTTGCACACTGCTGCTTGAGCTCAGCCTTGACTACCTGCCCATTTAGCTTATCAGCTCTTTGGAAGCAAGTACTGTTAGTGACTGCACTGTGAAACTGGCTACACAAAAGTCTGCAGCGAGGAAAGATGAGGGCCAATGGTTCAGGACAACTTAGTCCCAGCTAAACAAACTTTGCTTCTTTCTTCCCCCTGCTTTTTGTGGCACTGGAAAACATGTTCTCATGACGTAGTGAGCTCTCTGAGCGACCCAAGCTGCACTTACAAAGGAGCATTTTCAACAGCAGGCCCTTGTCTGACAGTGCATTAATGCATCTATTGCCTTGGAGACAGAGAAAAGGGCAGCTTGTGGAGACAGAATGAACCCTCTATGAGATGCAGCCTCAGTGTATCCCTGTTGATGTGGTGTAAGGGACTACTGGATTAAGTCTGGGGGGAGGGAATAGTAAGACAAGCCAATCTGAAAGCAATTGAATCCAGATCAACATGACTTTGGGCCCAATTTGTAAACACATTTGATTGATTAAATGACTTTCCTAAGGTTAACTCATGACTATTAAGCACTTCGGGATTCAGTGATTCTTCTCAGAAATAACACTTTGAAGTCAAACCCATAAAATTGGTTTAGGCTAAAATCAGAAGGGTGCTAATAAAATGTGCTGTGAATACAGGTGTCATTTGATGGCTTAAACAGACCCCACCTTAAACAGGCTTCATCCTCCTGCATGGTGGTACCCTCACCCCAAATGTGGAGTGTTTTTTCTAGTGCAAAGAACTAGAAAAGGACAACAGGGAGGGTGAAAAAGCAAACAGGAGGGTTGGTTTACCACCTACACAGGGTGCAAGGAGACAGTGTCAGGCTGGGATCTCCACCTCCAAGCACTGATGCTGGAGGATGCGGAGCGCAGACGGCTGCAGCGCTGTGATCCTTCAGGCCCTCTGCTGCAGCCCCTGCGTTGATCACAGTGTGCAAAATAAACACAAAGCACAGGAGATGAGGAGTTACAAAGGTCTTTTGCTTTCACCAAGGTGAGACTCTGCCAGTCTGGATGCAGCCCCATCCTCTGGCATGCCCAAATCCGAGGCCTTGCCCTCCATTCATCCGCCGCTGGGACAGAATGCGGCAGTGATATAGCTCAGCTCTTGGCAGCCGACTGGTGCAGCATTGAAACCACCACCAGCAGCTAAACTGTTCACCCCTCTCTAAGTCCGTAAACACAGTGAGCACTGGGGACAGCTCTCAAAACCAGCTCCAGCAGACTGAAGCAGTGAGAGGCCGTTTGACCCTGTTTTGTCACACCATTTTGTCTGCTGCTGGGCTTTGCTATGGCTCCTGCTCATCCCAAACACAAACGTCCTCTCCACCAACACATGCCAATCCTTAGGGAATAGAACAAAGCAACAAAGACCAGGTTGGACACAGGGGCTTGGAGCAACCTGCTGTAGTGGAAGGGGTCACTGTCCATGTCAGGGGGCTGGAACTGGATGAGCTTTAAGGTCCCTTCTGACCTTATGATTCCATGGGAACAGGGCTGGAATGGAAGGTTTGCTCTTGCTGCATTTTACACTAGCACTGGGGGGTGCAGGGCAGAGTTACACCGGTGCAGCGTGGACAGTGGCACATCCTCTAGAACAGAAAGGACTGAAGTTCTTCTCCAGAGCAACACTCCCCAGCCTTGGGTACCACGGGTCAGTATGGCGAGAAGCACTGCAACGCTTGCCATCAGCACACACAGAGCTCAGACCCACAGCCTGGCCTTCCCCTGGTTTGTTCCCCTGGTGTTAGGACACCCAGTGAGCAAGAGTGTGAGGAGCAAGCCAGGCTGGGGAGCACAGCCATGCCTGGAAGGGGTGCATGGCTATGGAGCACGAGGAATGCAGCACTCACCTCTGAGGAGCCGGCACACCGAGCAACACGTGCACACTGGAAGAGGAGCTGAGCGTTAGGAACTCATCAGGCTAAGCTACAACTCCCACACAACACTTGGCATCATTACGAGATGGATTTCAAGGCCCTCGTGTGCACAGAGAGATGATTGTCTCTATCCACCAGCATGGAGCGCACACAGGAACGTGCCTCACCCCAGGCTACCTGCCTGATGGGTGTTAAGGCTGGGATTCCAAACAGCTCCCTGGCTCTGGTCTCAGATCATTGAACTGAAATAACTCCTGACCAGAGGGATCTGGAAGCATGGATGAGCAATGGGAACAGTGCGAAAGGCTGATGAATACAGGCACAGGGTGCAACACTGGGACTTGCATCGCCGCATGCCAGGATTTCTCTTTCCTGTAGATGTAGACATCTACAAGCACCGGTGCAGCCATTCACAAAGCTTCTGCAGGAAAACTAACCCTTGATCTTTCTAAATCAGGAGTGTGCTGAGGAGTCCTGCAGGAATTATGTCGTGGTGGAATTGCTGGAAGGATGAAAGCAACCAAGGGAATGGCCTTGCGCCTTTCAGTGGCTCCTGAAAGCATGAACTGCACAGCTTCATGCTGAGGATAGCCTGGGTTCCAGGAAACAGCCTACAAATAACGCCCAGTTTGAGCTTTCCAGTTTAACCCTCCCAGTGGCATCGATGACTCCAGGTAAAAAAAGCTTTTGAATTAAAAGGTTTGAGCTCTGGGCCGTTTCTTTGGTCAGGATTATCCTGCACTTCCATAGCTTCACAGTCATTTTAAAGCAGCACAAACCAGCAGATGTCCCATTGCCCCTCACACTCTGGCCTCCACCTTCCTTGTCCCGAGCCCGATGTTTGTGCTCTCTACTGGCTTAAGGATCTGCCCCAGGTCAAGAGCAACCTGGAAGCAAGGAACAGGCGTTCGACTTGAACCAGCTCCCTGAGCAGGGTCAGCACATGTAAGATTTAAGCATGTCCAAGGGAAAGGATGGCATGGGGCAGAAGCAAGCAGTTGGGTCATACCCTTTCAACAGGAGTGCTGGCTCACACTGGCTGGATACTGCTGTGAAACCATGGCCTTTTGTGATAAAGATGAGTCTCAAGCAACGTCAAGAGATGTGCTGTGAGTTGAGCCTCTGGTTTTACACAGGAGGTAGCTGAACACGGTTTTGTGGTGGTTTCTTCTCTGGGAGCTCACACAACATGAACACACAGGTTGTTCTCACACATCCCTCTGGAGCTTTTCTGGTTGGTGGGGGCTGAACTATGCAGACATGTCCTGAATGCTGATATTCCACCACCTTTGTTCCATCCTGCAAAGCCTTCAGCATTGAAGTGCAAAACCAAGAAGCAGCCTTGACTCTCTCCTGCTCAGAGGAGCTGAGAGTACCTGAAAGCACACTGCACGCTTCTGCTTTGGAATCATTCCAGCCGAGGATGATCTCTGCCTGGGGCAGGCTGAAGCAGAGAGGGCGCTTGGTCTGGGCAATACAGAGGATGGCTCCATAATACACAACCCTCTGGCCCGGACAGCATCAGTGCTGGACACTGACCCCTGCTGCAACACACATCTCCTGCTGCTGAAGTGTGTCCCCCTGACTCGTCCCAAAGCCAGGCTGGTCTCCAGTGCCCAACCAACTGACATCAGCAACTAGGAGATATGTTTGCAGCAGCTCCAGGACTGGGCCGTGTGTCACCATGGCCAATACCCTGCTCCTGATGCGTGTGTCACTCACCAGCCATCGCAAGGGAACAAGTTGTACCTGCACTGTCCAGGATGCTTTTAAGGCAATGCTGTAACGTTAAGAGGTGCAAAAGCCCCCCACTGTTAATAAAGACGTGCCTGTGTGTGGATTGTTACTGGACATGTGCCAGAACGACAGCATTGCCTTGAAAACTGGTTGGAAATCTTGTTCTGGAGCTTCCAGTTTTCTGTTATGATGAGTAAACACACGACACGTACAGTTCCCAAAGGAAAGGGGCAGTTGTGTGGAAGCAGCACAGGTTGGAACAGGCATCGAAGCTAAAATATCACCGGCTCTCATCAGGCTGCCAAGATAGTAAAGTGAGAACCCCTGCACTAAGAGCAGAGTGAAATCAGACAGAGAGGAGAGGTGGTGGGTCTGCTGCATGGAGGAAGGGCAACCCCTGTGTTTCCTCAGTGTGTGTCAAAGGAAGATGTGCACATACTTCACCGGAGCAGTGACAATGCCTGTCTGTGGGGTTGGCAGCCATGCACAGACCACAGCAGCCTTTGCCCCTTCGTGTTGCCTGCGTGTGGCTTGTGACTGGGTGAGGACAGGAAGAGAAGGGCTTTCTGTGGGATGGGAGTGGATAGAGCTGGAGCGCCCGGAGCCCATTGCACCATCCACACGAGTGGGACAGCTCAATGTAGAGTGAGCACCATCGCTAGGCAGCAAAGAAAAGGAGGAGTAGTTCCCCTTGCCTCAAAAGCAGCTCTTGCAAGTTCTATTTCTTGGCCTCACAAGACACTCTTCAGCAGGCAAAAATAACCCTTTGCTGTGTCCACATGTGGTTGTTACTGACTAAATGTCAAGCTCTTCACACGGTGCTTTGTGTCAAGAGGGGATTCAGAGCACCACAAACCCAGCACCAGTCACACTATAAAACCAGCAGCAATGGAAATGAAACAAGCTGAGCAGGTCTTTAACACACTCTGAGTACAGTGTGGCCCTGCAGCCAGCTTTTGGCCACAGCCAAAGCCCACCAGGGTCAGGAGAGTCTTTGTATGGATTTCAGTGGGCTCGGAAACATGCCCAAGAGATGTGAAACTAGAACCTGAAGCACTCCTGGTGTTCACAGGGTGAGCAGAGA